ATCTACCTGAAGGTCACCCCAGGCTATTGGACTACATGGTGCTTTTCTCCTGGGGTAATTAGGCAGGTAAACAGGCCCTCTTCAGAGTGGGTGTGCTGGAACACTCACTTGTGCATGTGTACTGGGTGGCGGCAGAGTGAGTTGGGAAAGAGCTGGTTAAATGCCTGCATCCACATGGCGCTCAGTGTTTGATGTTGAGCTGGGGAGTTCTGAGTGTGACAGTTCTGCAGTGTCCCTCGTTGGCCCTTTTGTCGTGGTTACTTGGCAGAACACAAATGCCATGCTTATTGCATCTGTAGATGTAAAACAAAGCTGAGAGAGGGAAAAATGTTTGATGTTGGGCAGAATCCCAGAAGGTCTCAGCAGACTGGAGCAATGGCAGAACCCAAGGGAGAAATTTCACAGGAACCTGCATGATGTCTCCATGGCCTGGGAAACCATGTGTACCATTTCAGGGAGGTGGGGAGTAGCATCCACTGGAGGGAGATGACGGCCTTGCCCTGTGCTCTTCAAACCATACCTGGGGCCTTTGATTCTGAAAAAAACCAAAAGAGAAAGAGAAGAGTGGGGAGCAGGCCAGGTGCGGTGGCTCACGCCTATAATCCCAACACTTTTGAAGGCTGAGGCAAGCAGATCACCTGAGGTCAGGAGTTCAAGACCAGTCTGGCCATCATGGTGAAACCCTGTCTTTACTAAAAAATACAAAACTAAGCCCAGCATTGTGGCAGGTGCCTGTAGTCCCAGCTACTTGGGTGGCTGCGGTAGGAGAATTGCTTCCACCCAGGAGGCGGAGGTTGCAGTGAGCCAAGATCGCACCACTGCACTCCAGCCTGGGTGACACAGTGAAACTCCGTCTCAAAAAAAAAAAAAGAGTGGGGAGCAGACTTGAAACTATTTCAGGCAGAGAATGGTAGGGGAAAATGAGGCTATTCTAAGAAGGAAGGACTAGAATTGTGTCTTGGGGAGAGGGAAAGACCCGGGGTGCAGGACCACAGTTCGCAGTGGGGTCAACCTGCCTTGTGGGACCCTGCAGGGCAAAGCTCCTAGCCAGGAGGCAGATTTTGACTCCTGCTGGGAACTCCCTTAAAAGCCACCCCAAGAATGAGCCCCATGAGCGCCATCAAGGCTTGCTTGCGGGCCCTCTAGGTCTGCCAAGGCTGCCTGGAACGGAATGGACCCTGTGTGTGTTCTTTTAGTATTGGAAGAGCATCCAGGACTTTGGGGACCGGAGGAGCGGCCTCAAGTGAGCTCAGAAGTCTGCACCTGAATTGGGCCTTTTTAAAAGTTGTTTTTTAATGGGCAATAGATGCATGTGGCAGAAATGCAGAGGGCACAGATCTAAACCGGAAGCCTCATTTTCTAGCCCCAGCTTTCCTCTCCAGAGACAGCTAGTGGTAGCTAGTTTCTTGTGTGTCATTTGCTAGGATGTGTGCAGATATACACACAGGAACCACTTAATTTGTATGTTTCTGAGTTTTTTATTAGCTTAGTGCATACACAGTAGCGTACCTTGATTAATAATGGTGGTCATTTCATCTTTCCATATATAGAGCTGGCTAATTCCAGAAATAGCTACAGAGTATCCATTGTTGGATCTGTTGTGGTTTACTGAACCAGCCTCATTGGTGGAAGTTTAGGAGTTGTTACAGATAATGTTGTAGTAAAATGCATGTCTGTATGACATTTCACACAGTTGTGTGTCTGGGAAAGACACTTCTAGAAGTAGAGTTGCTGCATCAAAGGGTGTGTCATTTTAAATTTTACATCTCTGTATTTTTTAATTTTAATTTTAATTTTGAGATGGAGTCTCACTCTGTCACCCAGGCTGGAGTGCAGTGGTGCAATCTTGGCTCACTGCAACCTCTGCCTCCCAGGTTCCAGCCATTCTCCTGCCTCAGCCTTCTGAGTAGCTGGGATTACAGGCACCTGCCACCACACCCAGCTAATTTTGGTATTTTTAGTAGAGACAGGGTTTCATCATGTTGGCCCAACTGGTCTCGAACTCCTGACTTCAGGTGATCCACCCACCTTCGCCTCACAAAGTGCTGGGATTACAGGCGTGAGCCACTGTGCCTGTGTATTTTTAATTCGTGATTCCCTTACACGTTGGTGAAGGTGAACATCTTCCACTCCTTTTCTATAACTGCCAGATCTGTTCACATCATTTGACAGTTTCTCTAGTGGTTATTGATCTTTTTCTTATTATATTAGTAAAAATTTTTTCCTAAGTTTTTTTTCCCATCTTTATTTTTTAAAATTTGTTTCTTATTATGCTGAAATTTTATTTTATGCCTTTGGTTCTTGGGGCTACTTCTTTCATTGAAATCTTTTGCCTGGCTGGAATTTACTTGGTGTAAGGAACAGGGTGGTATCCAGCTTTTGTTTCTTGGTTTTTTTCCCTGGCCTGGCTGTGGATGGGGCTTTTGACTTCATTCTTCTGGGAGTAGGCCAGGAGTGGAGAGTGTCTTTGATGCTTAGAGGTCCTGCCTAGTGGTGTCTCCAGAGAGGAAGGCAGTAGAGACACCATCCTGGCTCTCCCTGCTCACCTTCGGGCAGTTCCTCCTGTTAGAAGGTTCCTGGCCCACTGGTCATTCACATCTGCCAGGTTGCTTCCTCACCAGTGAGGTCTGAGAGTTTGGCAGAGTCTGGGCAGAAGGGTCAGTCTGGGGTCAGGACGGGGAGGGCTTTGTACTGACAGCCAGCTCACCCAGCCGTAGGGACATGAGTTACACCGTCTCTGAAGGTGATGCCACCAGGGACCTCATCCACCACGCGCATAGGGGCTCCAAGAGACTGAAAGCTGTGCAAGGACTGGGTCCTCGGTCCACACTACCGGGAGCCAATTCCAGCTCTCTCCAAAGCCATAGTGCTTTGTCTACAGTCACCTCTGGACCCACTGACCCAAACAAATGGCCACACCCATAGGGCTGAAAACCAGGCCCGCCCTGTGGGGACCAGTGGCACCTTAAGGAAGTTCTTTAGCTTCCTTAAAAACAGCATGTAGGCTGGGTGCAGTGGCTCATGCCTGCAGTCCCAGCACTGTAGGAGGCCGAGGCAGGCAGATCACTTGAGGCCAGGAGTTCAGAACAGCCTGGCCAACATGGTGAAATCTCATCTCTATAAAAATACAAAAATTAGCCAGGCATGGTTGTGCCCACCTGTCGTTCCAGCTACTCAGGAGGCTGAGGCATGAGAATCGCTTGAACCCAGGAGGCGGAGGTTACAGTGAGCTGAGATCATACCACTGCACTCCAGCCTGGGTGGTAGAGTGAGACCCTGTCTAAAAAATAAAAATAGACCGGGTGCAGTGGCTCATGCCTATAATCTTGACGCTTTTGGAGGCTGAGGCAGGCAAATCACCTGAGGTCAGGAGTTCGAGACCAGCCTGGCCAACATAGTAAAAATCTGTCTCTACTAAAAATACAAAAATTAGCCAGGCATGGTGGCAGGTGCCTGTAATCTCAGCTACTTGGGAAGCTGAGGCAGGAGAATCACTTGAACCCAGGAGGCAGAGGTTGCAGCAAGGCAAGATCACACCATTGCACTCCAGCCTAGGTTACAGAGTGAGGCCCTGTCTCAAAAAAATAAAAATAAATAAAAAATTTTAAAAAAAACCAGCATGTACCAGCCTGGCCAACATAATAAACTCTTGCCCCCCCACCCCCCCAAAAAATTAGCAGGGTACGGTGGCACATGTCCTTAGGAGGCTAAGGTGGAAGGATTACCTGAGCCCAGGAGGTCAAGGCTGCAGTGAGCCATGACTGTGCCACTGCACTCCAGCCTGGGTGACAGAGTGAGACACTGTCTCAAAATAAACAAAATCTAACATGCCCAGTTTTCAAGGTAAATATGAAGGGCACCTAGAATCTTGTAGTTGGATAGCGTGGCCAGAACAGTGGTCTTCAAAGTGGGTTCCCTGCACCAGTAACATCACCTGGAAACTTGTTCAGAATGCAAATGCTGGTTCTACTGTCTCAGAAACTCTGGGTGGTGGAGCCCAGCAATGTGTTTTAACAATCCCATCAGGTGATTGTGATGTGCATTGCAGCGTGACACCCAGTGTGTCAGAAGAAACTGCTCATCCGAGACAAGCCGGTGTGATTGTTGAGGGAGCCTCAGGTTTCCTCACACACCCGCCTGTCATTTGCCATTGGGTGTCTCTGCAAACCGCAGCAGCTGCTATTTGCAAAAGCGGGCAGGTTGCACAATGTGGCTGTTGTCACAGCAGATCTGTGTCCCTCCTCACAGTTTAGGTGGCATGGGACATTACCAAGGGATCTGTGTTCAGAGAGACTCTGTGAGAGCAGGTGTCTCACCTGGCACCTGTCCAGGCCTCTCTTCTTTCTTTCCAGACAGATCTGCAAATCACTTACTTCTCTTAGCAGCGTCTGCTGCGGAAACAGGGTGGTGGTGCCTCATTTTCCCTGGTTCTCCACCCTGCATCAGATGAACTTCTGGAGGGCCCTTGCTTCTAAGAATGAAGCTTCCATACCTTACTAGCTTCCCTTGCCTGATGAACCAGAGGTTGGAAAATGAAGGAAGACAGGGGCCTCTGGCTTCCCCTGTTGCTGAAGGGATGGCAATAAGGACACAGGAAGATAAATAGACAGACCTGGAGCCCTGAGGATGAGGCAGTGTGCTTCTAGCTCTGAGGCTGGAGAGCAGGTCCAGAGATGCATTGCTTGTCAGCAGAGGCAGGAGCAAAGCTTCAGTGAGAGGGGCTTTCAAGGAAACAGGCTCCTGGCAGTGAACTCTGTCACTGTGGGTGGGGCTGGGGGTGTGGCCCAGGCCCAGAAGTCAGGCAGTATGCTGGTGGGTACTGTTCCTAGCTGGAGGCGCCAGCAGCAGACAGTGAACTGCTGGGACAAGCAGGGCGGATGCAGCAGCTTCTCCTGCTGGGCCCTGGTTGTGGTGGTGGCTGCTCCCTTGAGAAGTTGGCTCCCACAGGCCTGCAGGGGCTTCCAGGCAGAGCCTGAGTGTGCTGTCCTCTTCTCTTCCAGATCTCACCATGAGCTACCCCGGCTATCCCCCGCCCCCAGGCGGCTACCCGCCAGCTGCGCCAGGTAAGAGGGTCTAGGTGGGGAGGAGAGTGAATGCTGCCTCTGTACAGTGGCCGGGAGTAGAGAGGGGAGAACAGCAGTTTCCTCAGTCCCTCCTCCCCTCCTCACTCCCTTCTCCCCTCACAGCCCAGCCCAGCCTAGCAGGGGAGGGGAGGACAGGACAACGGAGTGGAGGGACAGCCAGTGGGGCAGGGGCTGGAGAAGAGCATGACGCTAGAGCCATGGGAGGCCTGGGTTTGAAACTGGCTCCAGAAAATCCTGGACCAGGCCCAGGGCTGGGCTCTTGCCTTAGTCACTGGTAACAGTGAGCAAATGCTGTCACTTTGAGACTCCGTTTTCTTCTCTGCAAAATTGCTTCAAGGATTTCTCCCTCATTAGGGGTTCTGCATACTGATGAGATAGGCAGGCAGAGCCTCTGATGCGGTGCCCTCCAAAGCATTGCTAGGCGATGGTTGCCCCTTGCCACCCCTCCTACTTTCTGCTCAAGGTGTGTGGGCTTGCAGCAATGAGATCCCCCTCGCCAAGAGAGGAAGTAGAGGCAGATGCTAAGGGTCAAAGGTCACTCCCTCCCTGTGGCTGCAGGAGGTGTGGGTGATCACACGTAGAAGTCATCTTCTCTGGCTCTGGCCCCTTTTGGTTTTCCTCAAATGAGATTTGGTCCCCACAGTGGGAAAGGAAATATGAGGGTTCATGGGACCAAAGGGAGAAAAGGGCCATTCCAAGCCTGGTCATCCTGAGGGTGCCTGAGCCGCTGCCCCTCACCCCAGGGGACCCCCAGGCATTATTCATTTCCTTGGAGCTGAGGTCCTGTGGTCTGAGCACCCCTGGCCTGCAGGCCATTTACCTTCCCTCCCATTCAGCAGGTAAAGAGCAGGCCCAGGCTGGGAGGTGGCTCAGCCACTGTCCCATGGCATGTTAGGGGCTGAGCTGGGCCACTGCCTTCTGAACAAGCCCATCCCAGGTTGGCTGGCACTGACCTTGGTCCCCTCTCTCTAGTAGAAATCCTGCCCACTGGGTCCTGCCACTGACAGCTTCGCTAGCACAGCTGAGCAGCCTCTGAGCAGCAAGAGAGGAGGAGACAGGAGATTTAGGGAAGGTTCTTCCTGGAGGGTCTGGAGCCCTAGGGCTGAAGAGCCGATCTGAAGCTCCCATGGACAGGAAAGCATCTAACTGGCCAGAGGCTACATGATGATGCCAGTCTCAGTGACAGCATCATATATGAATGCCCCTCGGGCCCCCAGCTGAGCCCTACAGGAGTTACCTGAGTCCTCATCACCGCAGTCCAGCCATACACTCCTCATTAGCCCATTTGTCAGCTGAGGAAACAAGCCTCACAAGGGTGAGGGTGAAAGCCCTGCCCCAGGGCACATGCCGGTCCTGCTGGTTTCAGAGGGGCTTTCTGTCTCTGTTTCCTCCTGTCCTCTTGTGGACTGGTATATGTGTTACCATGACCCAGCGTCGTCTCCGTCCAGCCTCTTATCCTGCTTCTCCCTGCCGTTTACAGACATGTAATAGCAAACAGCCAAACCCCTCCCACCAGTGCCTTCATGTTACTAAAATCTCAGAGCTCCCTGTGGTCACCTCTGTCGTGGGCTCAGCGTGGTGTCTCCCACAACAGTCTGTCCTTGTGTGTCCTCTAGCTCCATGATGGTGAACTTGGGAGGGCAGAGCCTGCCTGGGCCCTCCCAACCTCCTTAAGACTCTACGGAGGGTCTTGGGAGTGTTTGGGGAACTCCACCTTCCTCCTTGGGAAGAGAGGAAGGTTTCCCCTCCTCTGCCAGTGGGATAAGGGGAGACTTTCCTCCTGGTGTTTTCATGTGGTCTGTGGTGTCCTGAGGCGTGAGGCTTTGCTAGACCTCCCTGACCACCTGGGAGCTCGCATCTCTGCCTTTCCCCTTGTGGTGGGGGATGGGCAGGGGGCTAAAGGGCTTGGTGTTGCTTTCAGGTGGTGGTGCCTGGGGAGGTGCTACCTACCCTCCACCCAGCGTGCCCCCTATCGGGCTGGATAACGTGGCCAACTATGCGGGGCAGTTCAACCCGGACTACCTCTCGGGAATGGTGAGTCCAGCCCTCCTGCCGAGGCGGCCCTGGGGCCAGAGGAATCAAAACTGCTGGCCTCCGGGGCTCTACGTGTGTGTTGCTGTGGTATGCAGTGTGTTGAACTGCTCCTTAGAACAGGGTTTTCATCAGGCTTCTTCCACTTGCTCTCTGCCCCTCTCTGGGTCTCACTTTCCCCATCTGTAAAATGAGGGAAAGGGAAGTGCAATGGACCAGATGATCTCGCAGGTCCCTTTCAGCACTGCGGGGTTAGGGCTGGGAGGGTGGTGAGGGCATGTGCATGAGTATGCATGCATGTGCTGGGTGTTAGTGTCCACATTGATGGGAGGGTGGTGAGGGTGTGTGCGTGAGTGTGCACGCATGTGCTGGGTGTGAGTATCCACACTGATGGGAGGGTGGTGAGGGTGTGTGCGTGAGTGTGCACGCATGCGCTGGGTATGAGTATCCATACTGATGGGA